GCTCTCAAAAAATTTTTCGTGTTCTGTAAGAGTGGCCTGTAACAGAGGGGGGTGTTAGATAACAATACAAGCAGGTTACAGCTTCTCAGAGTTCTCATATAGGAGAGCTTTCCATGTATCTATGCTCTTCAGAAGATTTAGATGCTTAACTTTGAAATCGATCTACAGAGTGAAGGATCAAACAGGTTTCTACCCTGACAACTAACGCATCTGATTCTAAGGAATCCTTGCAATGATGTATCAACACACGGCAACTTACTAAATACTACCCGGACTAAACCAGCTACTTCGATGAACGTGACCTGCAATTATATCTGACTGTTCAGTATATTGAAGTGGAGCCCATGGAAATACCATTTCGAAGGTTTGATTTGAGAACCTTAGAGGACTTCTTTTGATTTCTGGCTTTTTTTTCTTTTCTGCCTTTTTCTTCTTTACTTGCTCTTTTTTCTCTTCTGCCTTTTTCTTCTTTACTTGCTCTTTTTTCTTTTCTGCCTTTTTCTTCTTTACTTGCTCTTTTTTCTTTTCCGGCTTTTTCGTCTTTTCTAGCTTTTTTTTCGTTTCTGGCTTGCTTCTTCTTCGTCGTTCATTCTTCATTGATGTTCTGCTTCCTAGAAAAGTTTTGTAACTACTGGAGTACAGAGTGAACAAATTGAGCTGGCATACATATAAAATCAAAATCCCCAGAAACGTCCTAATCAACAGAATCCACAATTGAAATTGAATTTCATATGGTATAACTTGATACTGTCCTGATTACACTGAGCAGCTCTCAGTTTACGTCAACACACTCAGAAAGCGATGCTCTGTATGAAAAACANTGAGCAGCTCTCAGTTTACGTCAACACACTCAGAAAGCGATGCTCTGTATGAAAAACACTAATACAGTCAAGTCTTCGAGTTATTTTCATAAATGAACTGTTTTACATGAGGAAGCTCCGTGCTTCGGATACTTCAAGTAAGAACTGATGGCAAAAACCAACCGCTAACTCACTCTCACACATTCGAATGAAATTTCAATTGAACAGCACAACCACTAACTGTTACTGTAACTTTCGAATGAAAATAGAACAGAACAGGTGACCAAAGCAAGTGGAGCTCCGTTCTCATTTCATTTCGGGAAGATATACT